CAGCACCACATAAGCAAAAAGAAAAAAGCCGGAAGTGGCGCTGTGGCTCAAGTGGTAGAGCGCTAGCCTTGAGCTGAAGAGCTGAGGGAAAGCGCCCAGGCCCAGAGTTCAGGCCCACGACCGGACCAAAAAAAAAGAAAGTAGCAATGTTGGCCACTAGGGGCACAGGAACCCTGTAGAAATGGCCAGTCTTAAGGACAGATACCAGCCCAGTCAAAGGTTCACATCTTTCTAGTACATGGTCAAGACTATGTAAAGCTTTGCAGTTAATGGTTGCCCATTCCTCTAACAGAAGCATGTAACATGTTTTTCAAGACATTAAAGATATGAATAGTTACCTTTCTATATAAATAAAAACTTTTCAGGATATAAAATACAAAGGTCATTATTTTTTCTACTGATGTACTAGGCAATAAACTTCTTGGCTCTGTAATATATTTTTGGAAAAAATTAAGTCTACACAATTTTGTGTTTTACTTCTTTTAAAGGTGGCTGTGTCCTGATGTTTAGCTTTGAAACATATGGTTTCGCATTAGGTTTTATTACTTTCCTTTTTAATTTTGTATTTGGTAGGACTTCAGTGTGTAATACTAAGATATCCTTTATTCAAACTCATAAATTTTCTTTGGCCTTTTCTTCACAATAATATCAAATTTGTCTATTCTATTTATTCATGAGTTTGTCTCTTGAACTCTATGACTCATAGTACAATATACTCTATCATTTATGTTCTTAGTGAGATTAATATTCCTAAAACCAAGTTGCTTTGCTGTGCCAAGATGCTTTTTGACTTTCAACAGATTTTCTTTTAACTGCTGTGACTTTTATGTATTATTTTCTTTCTATTCTGGCCTTTTTATTATTAAATACATCATAATTGAATTCAAGGCATTGTTTCCATATGGGACTAAAATTTGAAACTGCAACAACTGTAAAATTATCAAGATTCAAACATGGCACTGAAGGATCACTCAACATGATCCACAGAGGATGGACTTCCCTGTAATCTCCTTCAGTATGTCACATAACCTAAACACCTACTATCATCTGCTCATAGTCCCTAGACAGTCCCTAGAATTTATTACATTAAAAAATGTCTCAAAAACATTTAACCTGCATCAATCAATCAATAAATGAATGGAAATTGTTGAACTGAGTCCCTACAACAGAAACCCACTAAAAATGTATGTCCAACAAAGAATTTATCATATTGAATCCTTCATATTTAGGCTAATGGTTAAGATATTTACCAGGGCATATATAATGCAATCATTATGTAATGATGCAACTTTGCACATGTAAATATAGACAGACAAGACACTTAGGTAGGAAGGTAGATAGGTAGATAGACAGACAGATTAGCATTTGCAGGAGGTCAGTGGCTCCTACCTATAATCCTAGATACCCAGGAGGCTGACAGATTTGAGAACTATGGTTCAAAGCCAGACCAGGCAGGAAAGTCCATGAGACTCTTCTCTCCAATAAACTACTCAAAAAATTATGAAAGTAGAGATCTGGTTGTAGGTGACTAGTTTTGAGCAAAAAAAGCTCAGGGACAGTGCCCAAACCCTGATTTCAAGCCTCAGGACTGGCACAAAAAAATAAAATAAAAAGCATATACTGGCCTAACATGAAAATCATCCACTTAACATTCTTCACAATATTACTTACAAGCTGATGTTCTAATAGTTGAATTTTTTCATCTTTTTTCTTTATTTCTTCTTTAAGTTGTTTTATTTCATTTAATAAATCTTCATTCTGAAATATTAAAAAATTAAGACAAGTTATTTAAAATATTCTGAGAAATATTAAGTCAATGAAAACCAGTAATGAATAAACTATTTGTTCATTTAAAGAGAAAGCTCTTTATTTAAAAAAAATTCTAGAATGTCATGCTCTAAGGCACGTGACATGTAAACAATGGGTAGTAACAAAAAGTGACAGCTAACATTCATGAAGCAGGGTCAGTGTTAGAGACTAAGCACTTTTGAGTAAATACTCATTTGATCTTGACTGCGTAGATATGCCACTATCCCTTTTATTTTTTTTTTTCATTTTGTTTTATTTGGCAGTACCAGAGTTTGAATTCAGTGACTCAGGCTTGGTAGGCTGGCACTTTACCACTGAGCAATGACACCAGCCATTATATATAAGAAATCTGAGATGTAGGCTACAGAGTAGAGAAGTAACATGCAAAACAATAACTTTAGCTACAATTTCAAGGGATATACATGAGTTATCTAGAGAAAATGAAAGACACAGTAATCAAAGGGAACAGTATAAATAGGAGGAATTTTTTGGCTGGTTCAGAAATCAGCAAAAGGTAAATGTGCCCAAAGAATAACAAGGAGATTCTTTTTTCCATGAAAAGAATTCTGAGGAATATGCCTGAATTAAGGAGAAAACAAGTACATCAATGAGATACACTTGATGCAATTAATTAATTGCATTAATACTGTCAAGTTAAGCACCAATCTGGCATATTTTCAAAGTCTAAACTATCATTAGCTCATTTCTGTATTGCTGTAAACTATATACTGACAAAGTAGCTTGCACCAGCAAAGAAATTAGAGAGGACAGATGCACATACACACACATAACTTCCCAGAAAGAAAATATGTGAGAAAATAAATTACTGATAAAGTGTATCATCTCTATCAGACATACTAGGAACATAAGTGCAGTGCAGCAAGAAATCAGTAATCGATATTTTACAAAGGTTTTTAATATATTACTTAAATATCGCAAACAATGGGGAAGATTTTTGTTAATAGTTGTTATATATACTGTAATTAGGAAAGATTATTTTATTAATAAATAAACTCAAAAATGGATTTAAAGGCTGAAAGCAGTGATTGATGCCAGCTACTCTGGAGGCAGAGACTAGGAATATACTGGTTCAAGGCCAGCTGGGGCTAAAAAGGGATATTTTAACATAACAAAATAGTAAAGGTTAAGGGCAAATCTGATTATTTCCCAGAACAGTAAAGCTCTAGTTTTTAATGCCTTTATTACTGAACATTATAGTTGCCATTGCTTTATTATTTTATTTATTTATTTATTTTTTGGCTCGGTTGTGGGGCTTGAACTCTGGGCCTGGGCGCTGTCCCTCAGCTCTTCAGCTCAAGGTTAGCACTCTACCACCTGAGCCACAATGCCACTTCCAGCTTTTTTCTTTTTGCTTATGTGGTGCTGAGGAATCGAACCCAGAGTCTCATGCATGCAAGGCAAGCGCTCTACCACTGAGCCACCCTCCCAGCCCCTGCTTTATTATTTTAGTAAAAGAATTCTGATTTCTGTAGCCTGACTACCTAGTCATACCTTATATATCTGATCTCCATCTTCTGGCTCAGGACTGGATGGCAATGAGAGTTGAATATCATGCACTGAGCCACTTCCATCATGCTGTCAGAAGAAAAGAGAGAGGGGGGAACACAGATTAATATAACAGCTCTAGACATTCACTTCAACTTGAATTTACCCCAGATCAACCACTAGCATGGCAAAGGAAAGATATGAGGTTAAGACTTCACAAATCTTTTTCTTCTCTGCACTGGTAGAAAGAAATGTAAAAGAAGAAAAAGAGAGCTAGTTGAGAGTAACCTGTGGAATAGTAACAGATATCCTATAAGTAGATGAAGCAGAGAATCACCAAAAGTTTTAAAGCTGGAAAAGAAATAAAAGGATTTCCTAAAGAATCTCAAGATTGGGTTATCTCCACTAAGGAAAATGCAAAATAAGTCAACTGAATTTACTTTGGTTTACAAGTGTTTTGAGTATAAAGAAGTTAGAAATTACAATATTAAATATGTCAACAAGGCTTGGCCACTAAGATCACTTGATTAAAAATACTAGATACATGAGGATACATAGTGCACAACTCTATTTATACTAAGTCTAAAACAAGAGAAAACTAATCTATGGTGCTAGGCTTTAAAAGAATAGGGGCTGACTCTAGGATAGGACATTAGAAGACCTCACAGGAATCAGGAAAGGTTCTATCTCTTGACGATACGGTAAGTATCTATGATGATTATGATTGGTACACCTTAAGCAGTTTATGGAATACATGGTATAGTCAAACTCATGGTATAATAAAAGGTGAAAAACTAAACACGTTTTTCTTTAAACATGATAAAGAAAACATGATAACAGTGTTGAATTCTAATCCTTGCTGAGTTTGTAAACACGAAACCAGTGATTTCTTATACAATAATAAATGACTTAATGATTTAGATAGACAACATTAAGGAAGATGAACCAATACCAAATCTGCCTGAGGTGATGGTAAGGGACTGAATCTCTGATCAAGGCAGCAAAACTGCAATACCATGGAACTAGCAACCTTCAAATAGTACTACAATCACAATCTACCCAAGTCATACTTGCTCTGAAACGCCTACATGATAGATAGTAACTTTCATTCAGGTAGGTCAGTTTTTTGATAGAAGAATTTAGGTTACTGTACTATACATCTACTGAATCAGAATCTCTAGGGATGGGACCCAATTAAGCTTTTGAAAAGCTCAACTGCTGACTACACAGTAAAGACGACTAGGCAGTTACTGAAGTTCCAGCATGGACAAATGACATTTATTAGTGAAATCATGTGGATATTTAAAAACTTGAGCCTAGAGGAGAGGCAATATCTTAATGAACAGCAAATGTTCTCAAAATGTTTTATTATTAAAAAGGAAGTAGGGGGGCTGGGAAGGTGGCTCAGTGGTAAAGTGCTTGCCTTGCATGCATGAGGCCCTGGATTTGATTCCTCAGCACCACATAGCAGAAAAAGCTGGAAGTGGTACTGTGGCTCAATGGTAGAGCACTAGCCTTGAGCTGAAGAGCTGAGGGACAGCGGCCAGGCCCAGAGTTCAGGCCCCACAACTAGCAAAAAAAAAAAAAAAAAAAGGAAGTAGGGAGAAGGTGGGGAGAAAATTTTGCAAGATTCACTTCAATGAAAAGTTTAACTACCATTATTAATGACAACATGTAAATAAAGAGCCAGTCCTATATACAAATATGTTTGAGAAAAGAAAGAGTGAAAATTATTTCCAAATATCTAAATACCTTATTGCTCACTGCAAAGTAGGAACCCAAAGGATTGGGAGCAAACGTAAGCACATATGGTTTTTCAATTGATGTGGGTGCAATTGTGGGAAGTGTACAGTGGGCAAAGAAAAATAAAACACCAGTTTTCAGTGTGGAAGAAAAAAAACTCAGCCAAAACCACTGAAACTGCCAATTGCCAGGAAATCACAAAAGACACTCCCCTAATTTACATGTGAATCCCTAGGTTCCTCCACGAGCAGAACTTCCTTACATTAGATCCTAAATAGCTTATCAATGGCTGAAAAATAAAACAAACTAAGACCACTAGCCTTCAATCCAGCCTCGGGTGTATACTCAGAATAGATCAGCAGAGCAGGGTAGAGTCTTTGAAAACAGAACTGACATTAAAATCCCAATCCAAAATTGACTAGCTGGAACTTGGAGCCTGACTCAAACTAGATTATTTGCCCGCTTTAAAGGAAAAAAAAATTCTCCAAAGGATTTTAATAGGATTATGAATCTCATAGTACAAGGTTCACAAATAGCTAAGACACAGTCCAAAATTACTCACATTAACAAGGGGGAAAAATATCAATTCACACAGACACCAGTACAAACGTAGCTAACAAGTTAGGATTAACTAGAAGAAACATTAATAAAGCTATCATCAAAAAAATAAAATAAAATCTAAAAGTAGGGTAAACTCAAAGTGAATAGAAGAGAACATTTCAGCAAAGAATCAGGATATATAAAGTAAAAATAACTGGAAATTTTAGGAGTGAAAAAATTAACAAACAAAATTTTAAAATGTAATTTGAAGGGCTAAATATCAACATGTGAGTTGACAGAAACCAAGGGAAAATTATCAAAGTTAAGGGTAGGCAGTTGGTCCAGGATGTGCAAAACTGGGGAGAGGGAGAAATGATTTAATCTGAACAAAGTAGAGGGAAAAAAAGAGCCTATGGGGACAAGTACAAAAAGATCTAACATTCTTGTCATTTAAGTCATAGAAGAAAGAACATGGGATAGAAAAAAATGTTCAAGAAAAACCTACATTCTTGAGAAGCTCAATTTAAAGGAACTGAAAGTACACAGACTATGCTCTCTGAACATAGTAAATCTGACAAGAAACAGGATAATTTCATTTGAATAATCTGTTGTACAGGTCAGAAATCTGTTGTTTACTGTGATATAAACAACAGATTTCTGAGTCATTCATGGATCTAAAGAAAAAAATCACAAATAAACAAGACAATCTTTGAATTGAAGTAAAAGACAACCAACACCAAATTTTATAGAATTAAACTAATGTAGTATATAGAGGTATACCTATGGCATGAAATGTTCATGTTAATACATGAACATTAAAGTATTAGCAGTAAGTGGAACAAAACATATTTAGAGGGCTGGGAAGGTGGCTCAGTGGTAGAGCGCTTGCCTTGCATGCCTGAGGCCCTGGGTTCGATTCCTCAGTACCACATAAGCAAAAAGAAAAAAGCCGGAAGTGGTGCTGTGGCTCAAGTGGTAGAGCACTAGCCTTGAGCTGAAGAGCTGAGGGATAGCACCCAGGCCCAGAGTTCAGGCCCCATGACCAGACCCCCCCAAAAAAACAAAAAAAAATATTTAGAACAAGTACACGGATGAATTATAATGAGCAAAAATTAACAGAAAAAAAAACTCAGATCAATGAAACAAAACCATGTTCTTTAGAAACTGCTAAAATGTTTTGCAAAAGGTCCAAATCAAGACCCATATCAGAAATGTCAACAGGAATATCATTACAGATGTCTCAGATAATGAGAGTAAATAAAGTAATGATACTATGAAAAACTGTACATCCACAAATTTTATAAATTATAGAAAATGAAAAAAAATTCAAACCCCACAAATTCCTAAAGCTTACCAAGATGAAAAGATAGTCATGTAAATCTGTAACTAGTAATGAAACTGAATTCATAGCATACAATCATCCATGAAAGATCTATCTTGGGACAGATATTTCATTGGCAAAATCCTTCAGAATTTAAAGCTCTGTAAAACTCTTAGGAGAAATGGAAATCACACTACTTCAAGATTTGCCCTAAAACTCAAGTAATCATGAGATTGTTGTTGGCAAGGACATGGATCAAAGGAGTAGAAAAGGTCTAGATATAATTTCACATGCTGTACAGATAAAACCACAAAAGCATGCATTTTTCATACTTCAAACTATACATCCCAAAGAGCTAACATTTACTGAGCAGAGATATGCACTGCCTTAAATACTCCAGGCAAACACATTTAAGAAATACACAGAATAATCCAGGTACTGATGGCTCACACTTATTATAATCCTAACAACATGGGAAACTGAGGTTAGTAAGTCTGAGGTTCCAGGCCCTCCCAGTTAGAAAAGCCCAAGACTATCTCAGTGGAAGTGGGTACAAAGGCATGTGTCTTTCATCCCAGCTATAGTGGAAAGCATAAAATAGGTAGACTGATGTATAGCATGCATCTGGGAAGGAAACAAGACTCTATCACAAAAATAACCGGTAATAACAGGACTAGAGGAATGACTCAGTGATAGAATGCCTGCCTAGCAAGCAAGTACAAGGGTGAGTTCAAATCCAGTACTACTACAGATACTACTACTACTACTACTGAGGAAGAAGAGGAAAAGGAAGAGAAGGAAGAGGAGGAGGAGGAGGAAGACCACAGAACACACCAACTGGAGAAACATAAGCAAAGCATAAGTAACTCATAGTTAATTGACTGTCCAGTATTCTGGGCTGCTTTACTAGGTAAAATGTAGGCAATTTCTATGGGGTTTAATCAGGATATTTGACTTTTAAGTGCAATTAGAATGCCATTAGCATTTTAACAAAATAAATCAGGTGTTTTTGTTTGGTTTGTATGGAAGTTTTTGCAGTGTCTAGAGTTGAACCCAGGGCCATTATCACATTAAGTAAGAGTTCTACTACTGAGCAACATCGTCAAAATTTATCAGCATTTTATTAAAGTTTTTATTAAGTTCCTTCTTAGAGAACTTCTGTTAGCAATTGATCTTCCAGTTTCCTTCTCTTAGCATAAACTTTTGGCACTAATATTATATAACTCTTCCACCTATTAGTTTGTTGAAAGCCCTGATACTCCATCTTACCCAGGTGGTTCTTCCATGAGTTTGCAAAAACTGGGGTCGGCCTATGAGTTCTAGAGCAGCTGCAATGGACATGGATACTTGAAGTGATTGATAACATCTGGCAGCACTGACCAATCCTTGCTAACAAGCATCATCAGTGATGTCAACAAAGCTGCCTTGTGTTCAGACATGCTACAACACAATCACATGAGGCACGCTAGGAAAAGCAGCAGAGGAA